AACTACACATGGAAATTTTTCACTTCATCAAAGTCGTTAACAAATGAAAATTTCAGCCAAAATTCTCAGCATATAAATGACATCTCTTTGCATGTCTTTAAAAAAAAAAGTTAAAAAGCATTCATTCTGTTCTTACCAAAGAACTATACACAGTAGGTATGGTGCCGCCAGCAAGTTGACCTGTATCTGTGAGGCGACTGCATCAGCAGCCTGATGGCGCCTTCAGACTTCCAGATACCCCAAAATTGCTGCTGTGCCTTTGGCCAGACCCCAAAAACTTGGGGCAAAGTTTACCAAGAAAGTAAACGGCCAAAAGTTAGGTATGTGAGAAACACCCACAAACAACCTCCGGCTCAGCTATATAATTGGAGGCATGGCCTCTCTGGTTCCTGATTGAACTGCTTAATGGCCATGATCCCAGAGACTCAAAAACAAATTTCAAAACCCAGCAGCTTTTGGCAGAAATGTGTCCAGTCCCTGCAGTAGGTTACTGGTGCTGGGCCAACCCAGGTAGGAATAGGTTTCGTGCCTTGGCCTGTTCCCCCTGGCAGCCCAGTGACTGCCATCCTTCAGAGGCCACTGTACAATCAGGTTTGGGCCAGTGACGAGACACGCAGGGCCTCACAAGATGGGGGTGGAGCTGGTCCTGTACTCCCCACCCCAACAAGACCCCAAGTCATCGCCCACGAACGGCCTCTCTGGCTTCAAGCTGCTGAACAGCCATGATCCTAGAGACTCAGGAGCAAATCTCGAAACCCAGTGACTTTTGGTAGAAATCCCTCCAGATTTAAGTGTTAAAATTTCAGAATTTCAAAATCACATGGCCCTACTGCAGCCACACTACATCGTATGTTATTCATAACCAGCAATAGAACATAAATTGTCTACTGTTGCCTTTTCAGCAGATCTGAGCATTAGGGTAAAATCTCAAATAATAATGGTGGGTCTAGTGTCGAAATATTGAATGTGATCAAAGTAGAGAGAGAGTAATGTGGAAATCATCTGTCCCACAGGTAGGGGGAGGGTGTGGGAGAGGGATATACTGGGGTTTTTGGTGGTGGAGAATGGGCACTGGTGAAGGTATGAGTGTTTCATTGTATGACCGAGACTTAGACCCGAAAGCTTTGTAACTGCTCTCACGGTGATTCCATGGTCCACATCCACGGTCCTCCCGTTGTTCATCGATTTGCTCGAGTGGGCCCAGTAACGTCTCCATCATGAGACTTGTAGTTACTGTGTTTGGCATATCGAATACATCACGGGTAGCTTGCCAGGCTCTGCCATGCGGGTGAGATACTCTCAGTAGCTTGCCGGGCTCACCGAGAGGGGCGGAGGAATCGAACTCGGGTCGGCCATGTTGGCCGCTTGTAAGGCAAATGCCCTACCGTTGTGCTATCGCTCCAGCACGGTGATTCAATAAATAAAATTATAAAAAATGAAAAAAAAAAGAACTATTCACATACTAAATAAGTATAAGATAATCATACTGAATATGATTATCTTACTGATAATCATACATATACATTCTAAGAATCACAGCCTTAGGACAAACAGATACTCTGTCAACATACTTTACTAATGAACATCTTTCACCAAATAAATTATTTGATATTTTCATAAAAATATAACTTTCAGCAGATACCAAATAGCAGACTGGTATGGGAGGGCACAATGTCTTTCAAATGACTGCATTACAACCCAATGCTATTAATCTCCCAATATAATGTAACAAAAAGCATAGGTACCTGGAAAAAACCCGAGTGCCCGAAAACAGATGACTGGTTAAAGAAACTTTGGTATATCCACCCAATGGAGTACTACGCAGCTGTTATAAAAGATGCAGCCATGAAATTTACATACAAGTGGTACTACATGGAAAGTATCATGCTAAGTGAAATGAGTCAGAAAGAGAGGGACAGACAAAGAAAGATTGCATTCATCTGGGGTCTATAAAGTAGCAAAATAGGAGACTAACACCCAAGAATAGCCGAGATAAGCACTGGAGGTGGAGAATGGGCAATGGTGGAGGGATGGGTACTCAATCATTGTATAACTGAAACCCAAGCACAAAAATTTGTATGTCTACAACTGTACCTCATGGTGTTTCACTAATAAAAATTTCAAAAAAAAAAAAAGCATAGGTACCTATAAAGTATTCTAGCCCAAAATGCGTAATTCTAATTTAAACCACTGTCAATATCTAACTGTAAGTTTACAAAAAAACATAACATAGGAGAACAAGTTCAAAAGATCCACTAATATATCCATTAAGAAACAAAGAAAAAAACTGATCTGTACTCCTCAGGGTTTAAGGCACAAATAGTAAACCTTGGATCAGTCCTCAGCACTGCAGGGTCCCCAGAATATCAGCAAAAAATACCACCATAGTATCCTGGTAGCCTGAAAGGCCTGAAGGGCTGAGAAGGAAAGCATTGGCCAGGTGGGCTGAGAACTGTGAGGAGAGGCCCTGGAGGCTCTGAAGCAGCATTGCTTAGCCCCGCCCCCAAACAAAGTCCATTTAGGTGAAAAATCAGAAAAAGTCTTAATATGAACTAGGTATGAGTTTACGGAATTGTGAATTTTCATAAATGTGGTAGCTACTGCATTTGCTAAGATAATATCCCTACTCTAAGGGAAGACACGACAAATCAGGAAAGGGGTATCATATGCCTGCAACTTACTTCCAAATAGCCAAAACTAAATTGACAACATACAAATGTACATTATACATGTGTGTAGGAAGAAATAAAGAAAATGTTAAAAAAAAAAAACACTAGGGGCTAGAGTGATAGTACAGTCAGTAGTGCATTTGCCTTGCAGAAGGTAAACCAGGGTTCTATGTCCAGCATCCTGTATGGTCCCCCAAGCACCAACAGGAGTAAGTTCTGAGTGCAGAACCAGGAGTAATCCCTGAGCATCACTGAGTGTGGCCCCAAAACAATAACTTAAAAAAATAAAAAAGAACTATTAATGAGGAATACTGACCACTTTGCCTTGCATGTGTAAAGCCCTGCATGTAAGCCCTGGTACAGCTAAATAAAATAAAACCATGCCCCCCCCAAACTGTAGAAGGGAACAGATAGTTCAGTAATATAGCATAGCATGTCTGAGGCCCTGGGTCTATTTCCTAGTACCATAAACAAATTGTATCTAGACAGAATGAGGAAGCTGAATTATTCTTTTAACTTTAATAATAAAAATTTCAGGGCTGGAGTGATAGCACAGCGGGTAGGGCATTTGCCTTGCACGTGGCCAACCCGGGTTTGATTCCCAGCATCCCATATGGTCCCCTGAGCTCTGCCAGGAGTAATTCCTGAGTGCAAAGCCAGGAGTAAACCCTGTGCATCACCGGGTGTGACCCAAAAGGCAAAAATAAATAAATAAAATAAAATAAAAAATGAAAGTAAAAAATTTAAAAATTCTCTCTCTCTATAGTACAGTAGGTAGACACTTGCCATGCACACAATCAACCCGGGTTCAATCCCCAACACCCCATTATGGTCCCCTGCCGAGCACCGTCAGGAGTGACTCTTGAGCAGGGAGCCAGGAGTAAGTCCCAAGTACTGCCAGGGATAGCCCAAGAAACAAAGAAACAAACCAACAAAAACTCCTCTCTCTATGACAGTGGTGGAAAGACACTAGGACAATGGAAGAGGGAAGCAGCTACTGTGGGGGAGGGTGTGATGCTGGAATGTGTTATGCTTCAAATTATCATTTAGGGTTTTATAAACTACAGTGTATCAGAGAAAAGAGAAAAAATAAATGTTTTACTTTAAGGAAATTTCTCTTTTCCTTTTCGTTGCTGTTGTTGTTTGGGCCACAACCAGCAGTCCTCAGAGCTTACTCCTGCCTCTGAGCTCAGGGTACTCCGGGAGGGTTGCTCGGGGGACTATACATGGTACAAGGGATAAAAGCCAGGTCAGCTGTGGAGAAGGCAAGAGCCCTGCCCCACAGCACTACTTCTGAGGTCCCTGACATTTCCTTTAAACAAAAAGTATCTTTCTATCTCTAGATTATAAAGATAATCTCTAGATGCAGCTCTATCTCTCATACTCTAGAGTCCATCCTTCTATACGGTATTAGATACAGATCGTTTTATTTTCTCTTATATACAATTCCAACTTTCACTACACAATCTTCTCTCTCCACTGATTTACAGAAGAATTATTTTTGATTCCACTGAAAGATGTAACCTGAGTAAAGGGGAGTAAAAGGAGTAAGTAAGAAAAAGAAGAAAAAATAGGACAGGTTTCGTGTAGGAGTGCAAGGGGTTAGCTGAGGGATGGGGTAAGACAATAATGGAAGCTATTACCAGACTTCTCTGCACCAATCACACTGAACGATGTGCAGAAGAAGCCAATGGAAAAGGTAACTGAACTAGTAAGTATAATAACAGGTTTAAATAATACCATACCAACTATGGATTTTATGACAATACTATTTATAGTGAAAATAGCATTACTAATAGTAAAGGTAAAAGGTAAAGGCCCTCCCGTTGATCGTCGATTTGCTTGAGCGGGCCCAGTAACGTCTCCATTGGAGACTTTGTTGTTACTGTGTCTGGCATATCGAATACTCTCGGTAGCTTGCCGGGCTCTAATAGTACTTTAATATTAATAGGCATTAGAATAATAATAAAATATGTGCCATCAGGGCTCTGAAAAAAGATACCTGATATATCTGGTGCATAATATGCAGAGTTCCCAGGAGCCAGACTATCTCCTATTAACCAGTGAATTAAACTACATCTTTCACAATATTCATAATATTCTATACTTATTATATTTATAATAGCTTTAGAGAGAAGAATAATTATGGCAAAACCCAGTCATAATAATAAATATTTAATAGACCTCTGTACAAATTTCAGATTTAAAACACTTCTTTAGTACCTAGGTTCAAATCCTAAAAACATGAGTTTGTAGAATGCATAACTATTCTATTTCTGACAGTGACTCAGAAGATGTAAACTGTTCTCCATAGGGAATTTTAAGACATACCTTTTATTTTCAGCCAGATTTGCTCCTTCCTCCTTCAGCTGTTTACTTTTCTCGGCACAGCCTTCAAGGAGGATTTCTTTCCTCCGTTTAACCGCGTGGAGCCAGCCGCCTTCTTCATTCTCACTGGCATCCTTCTCATCAGCAGCTTCAGCCTCAAACTGCTGGGAAGTCACCTTCGAGACCTTCTCGCCAATTTTCCTCTTCCATCCAAAGGAAGCCATTCTGGAAAATTATAAAGAAGTTACCTTAAATTTCAAACTGGTGGGGAATGGACAGAGAGAACAGTAGGCAGAGTGCTTGTCTGACACACTGTCAACCTGGGTTTAATCCCGGGCGCCCCATATGATTCCCTGAGCCTGCCAGAAGTGATCCCTGTGTGCAGAGTCAGGAGTAAGCCTTGAGGATCTCCTGGTGTGGCTCAAAAACAAAACAACCAACCCCCAATCCTCAAAAAAACCTGAACTTCAACTCAGCCACTAATAGACATATTCCAAATAGATGACACAATCAGTCTCTTGCTGTTTTTTTTTCAATCCCTAAAAGAATAGTGAAGGTGGGGAGAAATATAACTGGACATCATCAATGCCTCTCCAGTTGGTAGTGATACACCACAGTAAATTCCACTTGCCCCCAAATTAATTCTGAATCACATCAAGTCTCTAGCCGATTATAAGAAGCACACTACAAGATGTCAGAGTTGAGAGAGGGAAAAAAAAATGAAGACAAAATAAAGAAAAATAAAACTGGATTCTTCAAGAAACTGCTAGAAAGAAAAGAAGGTGTGCAACAATGAGAGGGGAGGAGAGGAAAGAGTTCTTGAGAAGCAAAATGATATAAATAAAAGAAATGCTTCAAAATAGGAGTCACTGTCACTGTCACTGACCTCCCATTGTTCATCGATTTGCTCAAGCGGGCCCAGCAATGTCTCCATCATGAGACTTGTTGTTACTGTGTCTGGCATATCGAATACATCACGGGGAGCTTGCCAGGCTCTGCCGTGTGGGCGAGACACTCTCGGTAGCTTGCCGGGCTCTCCGAGAGGGGCGGAGGAATCGAACTCGGGTCGGCCATGTTGGCTGCGTGCAAGGCAAACGCCCTACCCGCTGTGCTATCGCTCGTAAGTGAACATAAATATAGAAAAAAGATGGGCTTAAATAGGTATATTTTTAAACTTCATTTTAAATAAATTTACAGATCTGGGGAAATGGTTCAGAGAGCTGAAGCCCGTGCTCTACAACGGAGAGCCCTATGTGTGTGTTTGTGTGTGCGTAGGAGGGTTTGTATGTATACTTGCACATCACACATGGCAATGATCGGCGGCTAATCCTAGCTGTGTAGAGGAATGACCCTGGGGGTGCTTCTGGTGTTCCTCATGAAGGTTGCTGGGGATTCAATCAGGATAGACTGCATGCAAGGTAAACTTCTCATCCCACCAACCCCACCCCAGTACTCTCTCTCTGACCCAGAGCCCCAGATTGATCCCTGGCATTGCAGGTCCACAGAGCACTGCCCTGGGTGTGGTTCCAAAACAAAAATTTTAGACTTATTTTTTGGGGGAAGGTAGATGGAGTGGCTAGGCCACACCTAGAGATATTCAGGGAGTATTCCTGACTCTGCACCGAGGAATCAGTCCTAAAAATGCTCAAGCAACCATATAGGACACCGAGAATCAAACCTGGTTGGTTGCTTGCAAGGCAAGAGCCCTACGCACTGTAACATCACTCTGGCCCATAAAAATGAGTAATTTTTCAAACATTAAGAGCAGATATAGGAAACTACATGCTTCCCACAGGAGCTTGAGATTTAAGAACATTTAGACGAGTCATGGAAAAGTTGTATTACAGAATTAGGTCAGTGTCAAACTGTTCAAACCAATGATAATGCAGAAAAATGTGTTTCCTACTTTGGAGGTGATTCTAAGAATCTAGCAGAACCAAGGCTGAAAACAACTGAAGTGTGTCTATTAAGGAAAAGAAGTTCTGAGTAAAGCCAACTTGAGAGTGTTATGAACTTTAGGAAATTCTCAGTATCTTATCAAGATAAGTCAAGATAAGTTAGAAATCTCCTATTTACAACTGTCTTTAAAGTGACAAGAATAAAAACAATTACATTTTCTCACTTCCAGTTTCGAAACACAACTGGTTTTGAAGTCAGCAATGAGTAGTACCAGGTAAGGTGGGAACTCTATTAACACAGGAATCCTGGTTATGTCTACCATACTGGTCACTTCTACTGAAGGCACATTACGTTAGAATTCAACGATCAAGTTTTACAATTAGGAGCAGAAGTTAAGAGTCGGGAGGACAGGACAGGAAGAATAAACCCAGATGTATATATTTTTTAATTAAAAGATTATTCCCATTCCCATTACCACCACCACCACCACCCCAGCCTCCTGCACAAAACTCTTGTGGAAAAAATGAAATGAAGGACAAATAGAGGCAAAAACCCCAGATAGTTCCTCTACCATGCATGAGTGCCACACACACACACTGCTGCTCTAGGATGCTGGGGTCATTCTGCTCCACCAATTATTTCAAACACCAAATTATTTCAGACACAAAGACTCCAGGCTCTGGAGGTCAGGACAGCAGGGGAGTGAAGGGGTAGAAACTGCCCACCATGATATAGACCCATGAAAGCAAACCCTTGGACTCTGACACAGTTTGGAAGTGGGGGTGAGGATCAGAAGGACTGTGTTGGAGAGCTCTTGGCCCTCCGATGGAAGGTACAGTGTGGTGAGCTAGAACCCCTGAAAGATGTATTCATTTACAGGCTTAGAGGCCAAAGTTAATCCCAATTTTAAAAAAAGAAAAAAAAATTTTAATTAAAAACGGAAAAGGTCCAACACAAACAAGTGACAGGTTTAACTTCGGTGAAGAGGGCCTAGAATACACTCCTCTCAGATAAAATTAATATTGGGTGAGCAACACTGGCATGTTCTGGGTGGTAGAGAAGAGCGAAAATAACCACGCCCCCACGACGGGGGCGGGGCTTCACAGGTCTCCAAAGAAATTAGACGCTAAATACTGGAAATACGGAGGGGGGGCAGGAAATGGATGTGAGCACTGGAGAATCACAGACAGGAGCTGAAAGAATCACGTGGGAAAGCAGGTTCAAAGCACAAAGCGGGTGAGCGAAGACGCCAGGGATTACACAGACCCGCCGAGCTTAAAAAGGCACAGGCGGATCACCAAGGGCCACGCGAGCGTGCTATTTCCTCCAGAGTCGTTCACAGACCACAGACGCGGCGACGTCAGAGAAGCAGCGGGCTGGGGGCTGCCAGGAAGGCACAAAACATGGGGTTTAAGGAGCTCAAGTTCTAACCCCGACGATGCAAACTCCCTGGGGAAAATGTAACCCCCCCCCCCCCCCCCAACCCCCGAGTTCATTCCCCTGCCTAAGGGCTGCGAGCTGACTGCCCTCCCAGTCTGGGCCGCCAGCGACAGGCAAACGTTTCCCGAGCAAGGCGCCGGGAACACCCTGGCAAGGGCATTTCCTCGGCAGCGCGAGGAAGCACGGTGCGGGGGTGTCCTGTTCACCTAACGGAAACCAAGCGAACCCATTTCCCACGGAATCGCGGCTGATGAACGCCCCCGGAATGCTGTGTTCTGAATTCTTGGGCCCGAACGGCCAGCGGACCGACCCGGTACCCGGGGCCCAGCCGGAGACTGAGGCTGGAGCAGCCCAGACAGGCCCGACCGGCACGTGACAACCTTTGGGGGACCGGGGACTCAAGAAGCAAAACCTGGCGGCCAGAAGGAAAAAAAAGAAAAAAGTGAAAGTCAAGGAAGCCAGCGTCGGCGGCTCCCCTTCAGGATCCACAGCCACAGAAACGTGCCGCGCGGGTCCGGCGGCTTCGGCCGGCCCCGCCCCCGGCCGCGCTCCCCGCTTCCCCCGCAGCCCGGGCCCGACCCCCCAGACCCCCCCGACGGGTTCGTCCCTAGAGACCAACCTGAGCGCGCCGCCTCAACTCTCAGACTCCAGGAGCTCCTTTCCCCCCTAACTCGGAAACCCACTCGCTCCGTCTCCTCTTCCTCGGGCTTCCAGCACGGACCCGTAGCCCGGGTCAACCCGATCCCAGCTAAACCCGAGCCTTGGGTCCCGTGTTTACATTCTTTTTGACTTTTGACCACCGGAAACGGAAATTACTCCTTGACCTCCTACCGGCCCGTTTTGATGGGTGCGGCGTCTCTCCCCAAATCGGAGCGTTGGCTAAATCCGAGGCCTCCGATTCGTCCACAGAAGCTAGCAAGGAAAAAAAGACTTCTCAGAACCCTTCCGAACCGTTCTGAGCCACCGGGCCCGCTTCTGGACTACACCTCCCAGAAGGCACTGCGCGCGCCCGTGCCCCCTGGGATGTGTAGTCTGGACGCTCTTGAGTCGCGAGCATGAGAAACTGCGGCTGCGCGGACTGAGACGCGTGCAGAGAAAAGCCGGACCCCAACACCCGGGCAGTGTCCCGGGAATTTGTGACCGTAAGTTCCGGCCCGACGCCAATGAAGCCTACAACCTGGTGGATTCAGCGGTCTGGAGGGAACCGAAAAGCAAGCTATTTCAGGGAGGGTAAATAGCTTCAGGTCAGAGAAATTCGTGAGTGGGCCCCGGAATAGAACATTGGGGCCTGATAGTCGCTGTGCACTTAAGGTCTTGAAAGTGATTAGGTGGGAAAATGTCATTCGGGTGAGTGTTTATGAGATTAGAGAATGAAGATTTTTGACGTATGACATATGAGCACAGCTGTTTTGTGCACAGGACCCCATTCTATAGCGGGCACTGTCGATCTGGGCACTGTATTGGGAATTGTGCAATTCTTCAGAGTGCTCTCCAGGGCGTTGAGCAGCCTCTCTGCGCTCTATTTCCTAAATTACAGTGCCATCCAGGGTCACCACTCCCACTGCCCCAGTGAAGACAGTCAGACATGTCTCCAAACACTCGTTAAATGTCCCTGGAAGATACGTGGTTCCCTCGCCCCTGAGCAGTGAGAACCACTAATGCATAGCAATGATCGAAAAAAAAGGTGATCTTCAGGCCACTGGAACTGGACCACAAGCTCTCAAAGTCAGAAGTATGTTCATGTTGATATGAAGATACCGCTGACCTTTTTTCACAATGCAGACATTTGCACTGATAGAGGGATAGTGAAAGTGGACAAAACTGCTGGCACCTGGGCAGGAGTCAAGAGAATAATGCCGCACTGACCCAGTAGTCATTGTGATAGTGTTCACCAGCATACACTCATAGGAAAGAAAAGAGGCAGTCACCCAAAAATGGCCTCGTGGACACAATCAAAATCATTTTATTAAAATAATCATTGAAATAGTTGGAAATGATCACTGGACAAGAACTGATTGTTGAAAGTAAGTAAAGAGATATGTGTGATAACTTTTCAGTATCTGTATTGCAAACCATAATGCTCAAAATGGGAGAGTTGAGAGGGAAAGAGAGAGAAGTGCTTGTCACAGAGGCAGGTGGGGGTGGGGAAGGGATTGGGGACATTGGTGGTGGGAAATGTACACCGGTGAAGTGACCAGGGGTTGGAACATTGCATGACTGAAACCCAATCATGAACAACCTTGTAACTATCTCACTGATTCAATTAAAAAAAAAATAAGTATCTTATGCCGTAAAATGTGAATTAGAGATAAAAAATGGATATAAAAACAAATAAAATGATCATTGAGGGCTGCAGCAACAGTACAGCAGGTACTGTTGCCTTGCCCGTAGCCAGCCCAAGTTTGATCCCAGGCATACCATGTGGTCCCTCAAACACCACCAGGAGTAATTCCTGAGTGCTGAACCAGGAGTAAAACCCTCAGAATCAACAAATGTGGCCCCCAAACAAACCACATTAAATAACCATTGGAGGGGACGAAAATATGGTACACTGGGTAAGCCTTGCAAATGGCCGACTGGGCTTGAGCCGCAGCACACATATGGTCTCCCAAACCCTGCCAGAAGTGATCCTGAGCAGAGTCAGAGATTAAGCCTTGGTCACTACAGGTGTGGCCCCATCAAGTTAAAAATAAACATTCCATGTTACTCAAGTACCCAATTGAAATTACTCATGTACTTCTGTATAACTGAAGTATGAAAATACTCAAGTACTTCTGTATAATTGAAGTATGATGTCTGAAATGGACATGAGACCGCGTTATAAACCAACGTATATTTTTCCTAAACACTTTTACTTAGAAGAACCACTGACAGGGCACAAGCCATCAGGATGGTCTCCAATGATGCCCTATTCCTAGCATTCATACTTTTTTTTTTTTAACATTTAAATTTACCTTCCAAAAATATTACTAAAACTTTAGTACTCTAGCTTAGGTAAGTAATGTGGTTTCAGTAGTATTAACATGTAAAAATTCCTGCACTCCACACCACCACCTAAGTGCCCAAGAACCCTCATCACTGTCCCATCACCTGTGGCCCACTTATTCGCGCCCTGCAGCTTTTCCCACACTGGTGATTGAGTTTTGTAATACAGGGCCAGGGGTTGTCTCCTCCATACTATTTCCTCATTTTGTAAATAATCCACAAAGTAAAATCATTGGGTATATGTCCTTCCTTCTCCCTCTGCCTTATTCTGCTTAACATCAGCATTTTCATACCTTTCTTCAGCTTTTTTTGTTCGCATAACATTCTCTAAAAATATTGACAGAAAATCATTCAATTTTCCCCCTTTGCATTCATAAACTACATAAAATTTCTTCTTATATCTTACCAGACTGGAGCTGTGTTCATCTACAGGTAGGGGAAGTGATCATATAGGACTTCAGATGTTAATTCTGAAGCAGAGTTTCTTTTTGCTGTTGTTCCAGAAGTTGTACTGGGAGCATGGCTAGGGGCGTGGGGTAATACTAGGGCCATACCTGGAGGTGTTCAGGGTCCCTGACTCACACTCGTGATGTACCAGGGGTCACACCCAGGGCCACATCCCTGCCCAGCAATGTTCCTTAATCTGGAAAGAGCTTTACATGTCCATGTTCACTGTAAACCTGAGACATTGAAAATTGATAAATATTTATAACTTGTGTTTTCCCTTAGATATGAATCCTACTAGCTTGTTTCTTTGCTGCCCATGTTCTCTCCTGAACAGATTTCCCTGTTCCTTTTTGTTCTCCACATTTCTCAGTAAGTTTTAATTTTTAAAAAAAAATGAAAACTGGGGCCAGAGTAATAGTACAGTAGACAGGGCATTCTCCTTGCACAAGGCCAACCTAGATTCGAGTCCCAGCATCCCATACATTCCCCAAGCGCTACCAGGAATAATTTCTTAACTCAGAGGCAGGAGTAACCCCTGAGCACTGTCACAGATGTGGCCCAAAATACAAAATTAAAAAAACCTACCTTGCTTCAGAAAAAGATATTTATAATTGTACATTTTCAGACGTTATACTGCTATGTACAGTCTTTAAAAATATAATTTACCACTTGAATACATTAGCTGGAACAAAATTCTAATTTCAAAAATATATTATAAATTAAAATATATATTCCTACAAAATATGTACTGATACATATATCCCTAATAAGGTAGTAGGATTTGTGGCCTGTGGTCACATTTGTGGTACTTGGTTCACAAGTTATTATGAGGAGACATAACTTGCCTAGTGAATAGTGAAATGATGATTAAAGTTATATCCCTAAGGGATCTTTCCTAAAGCTCTAATAAACAAAATTCTGATCCACACTACTTTGCTACCTCTACTACTTAATCTTTACACTTTAACCAGTTTTTCAACTTACTTTGGTCTATAATCTTTATATACTTATTTTCATTTCCTAGCCTATTTATAGACAACAAAATCATCTTCCAAATTGCTAGAATTCCTCTAAATTTATCAGGTAACATGTATTAATAGCACTCTATAATGATGTTTATTGGCATTCTGTAGTAAGAACTATTTGTTCACTATAAATAGAACAATTAATATTGATTTTCCAAATGAGAATGTCTTGTACAACTCTGTACTATCTGAACAAAAACCTAGTGAAAATTAAAAGTTCCCTAAAAGAACCACTTTGTATGATCTTCTTAACACTCTTCAACAATACTGGCTTTTATTAATATTATCAAGCTATTTTATTTATTTTTTAATCAAGCTATTTTAAAGAGGTAATGTATCAATAATCTAGCACAAGCATTGCCTAATACCACAGAGGATTAAAGACAATACCAATGGAATTCTAATTGGAGTGGAATTCTAGCTGAGGGATAAAGGGTAGCTGCTTTGACTTTTATTATATACATCTCAATATATTGTTCAGGTGGTTGATATTTATCTGAAATCAGAACTCACTAAGATAACACAAAAAAGCACAATGTTTGAGGGGCCAGAAAAATAGTACAGTGGGTAGGGAACTTGCATTGCAAGCAGCTAACCTGGGCTGGATTGACCCCCACCCCCATGATCCTCTGTAACCCGACAGGAGTAATCACTGAATGCAGAGCCAGGGGTACCCTGAGTACCACCAGGTGTGTCCCCAAAACAACAAAACTGCAGTGTTTTAAGTGCTAAAATTTGTCAAGCACTGCATTTTAGATCCAGTACACTGTTTTACAAAGGAAAGGTCCAGGAATGGTCAGTCATAAACAGGTGCTTTTTTTCCACTTTTACTTTTCCCAGATATTAAAAAAAAAAAAAAGCTAACACACTGTAACAGATAAAAAATGGTATTTTTCTTTATTATCCATTTTCTAAATCAAGGTACTTGTAATTGTATGCTTAAATATACTCCAGTCAAAACATACATGTATGCATCTCAGAAATAACGTACCACACAAACAGATCTCTTACCCTATTACCAATTTACAGTTAGGCTGTATGTTGAATTCATTCATCTTAGCAGAACTCACAATGAAAATGAGACTTCTATTGTGGATCGGAAAATGGAAAGAGTTAAGCAGAAAAAAAACCAAAAGACACATTTTTTTCCCTTTCACTTCAAAGGAGACAGCATAGGTGTTCTACATCTATCCACAGTCTACCATACATTAACTGGCTGTGAATCTTATCACAAGGTCAGAAAGGGAAGGGGAGAGGAATGAGAGGGCAGGGCATAGTGTATAAAATCATTTAAAACTCTGAAAAACTACAAAAGCATCTCAAGAGAAAATATAATAAAAATAAAAGCAATGGAGTTTATTTCAGTGAAATTATTTTAAATTAGATATGATATATTAAGCTCCCATATTCCCCAACCTGGTAAAAAAGTTCTTCCCAATGAGAAATCATTTATTTGAATGGCAAAATTTTTTACATATCAGTAAAATCTGTTATATTTAAAACTATTTATACAGTACATTTCTGGCAAAAACCCTTATACATCTTTCAGTTGTCAAGACAAAGTAAAAATATGGTTGCATAAAATCCAAAAAATATAAATTGCTGAAAAGATAATAAAAAAAGATTAAAAATCATTTGCATTGACTCCCTTATATCTTTGATTAGTAAGAATTTGATAACTACAATTCGAGAAAATTCTGATACAACCTTGACATACTTAACCAAAATTGTCATTTCAAATATCCTAGCTTTAAAAAAAGAATTTACTGCAATAAATCTGTGCATTTATCATACTATTTGTACAAGTGCAATATTTAAATATCTCCAAAATAAAACTCAGTAACTAAAAGGGATCACAATAACTTAAAAAGAAGCAAAGTTTACAAAATCGACAATTTTAGAAGATCCTATTTCAATTGGTTCCTCCTTTTGCGTTCCTCTCCCCACAACAGCTTATAGAGACAAAGATGTCTTAATTCTATATACATATCTGTAACTTTAACTACAGACTCTGTTCTTAACATCAGGAACACAATTCTGCATTTAGAAAGGCTTAAAAGAAATCAATATTGCCAAAACAGAGGGCGATGTACTAGTTATAAATAACAATTTTGAACCTATACTTAAGTGGAACTGCATACAGCTTTCAAATTATATGCTGAATAGAAGAGGCCCTGGACAAAAAGAAACAGTTGTCTTGTTTGTTTCCAAATTCAGTGCACTGGAGCCAAATCTACAGTTACACAGAACTGTTTCTGAAAGCTGCCATGGCATATAGTACATCTGGCTGCAGTAGGTGTTCACTGTTACCTCCCAGAAACAATCCTACACATTATTAAAGGGGGAAAAAAGATCCCTTGCAATGAAAGGATAATTAATGCAAAAGAAATTTCTGAAGTCAGAAGTTATTATGTAGTTATGGGTGATAACTGTAATTTTTTGGTATGCATACAAACACGTTTTTTTCTAAGATGATTTTGTTTCATTTATACTTAAGTTATTACTAAGAGCAAGAAAAAAGAAATACTGATGTGAATCAGAGATCTTAAAAATCAAGCATCTTCAGGTAGTTTCCATAATTCAATTTTTAAAGCAATTAAAGTAATTAAAACCCAAAATAAATGTGGCAGTTTAGAAGAATTAGCTAATTTGGTGCCATACAATATCAAAATGATATTCTTGTCATACCTAATGTAAACTTCAATTCAGTTGTAGTAGAGTTACCAGCTAAAAAAGAAATCTGAAGGGCAACTGGAGAAATCATGATTTCAATTATAATTAGATTACATTAGGGAATGAACTATCTTTTAACCACAAGTTTTAGGAGGTGCTTGAAGTGTTGAGGGTTGATGAACAATCTGCAACATCCAAATGGCTCATGGGGGAAAAGCACATGTACACTCATATACACATGTATAAATATATCCTTATGTTTAGATATAAAGCAAATAGGGCAAAATGTAAGTGATAGATACACATGTTATCACCCCTCAGCCTTTTAATTTTTGTTTTAAAAAAATGTTCATAGTATTTTGGAGAAAATAGCCCTATCAGAGCATTTATACACTTTATAAGACATGTTTTCCCCTGTGCACTGAATCAATTTTAAAGATACATAATCTAGTGACCAGAATATTTTGTATACATTCAATACTGACGGACATGATAAACAAGGGAGTTTGTGAGACTGGCAAACACAACATGATTTATTTACAGTATATGCAACTCAGCTCTTGTGACAAAAAGAGCAATTTATGTACAGAATATCATGGGACAAATTGTAAGATTAAACTTAGTGCCTAAATTATTTGAGTATGTCTCTGAACTTACCAAGCTAGAAGAAAATACTTGTGTCTAGTATCTGCAGTGTGATTTATGTCATACTATAGAGTATGAAAGGGGGAATACAAGTCACCCACTCAGCTGTTACCATTGTTGGAAAATACTTGCTACTTAAGAAGGAGCCTAGAAAACAAAACTACCTATGAAGGTCTCTGGGGATTCTAGGCAAATATTTATTGAATAATTTTATGAAGCAAATATATAATACATCAATATGTAATATATGAAGGCCCTTATGGTAAATTAATATTCTACAAAGCCCTGTGTACACTAAATATAAAATAGCCAAAAATCAAGTGAGCCTGAGAGACCTATAGTTCATTGTGTATATTATGCTATATACCTACTAAACAACAAACAAAATTATTTAAATTCATTTTTGCACATTAGGATTTTAGCTATTAATCATGTTCTAATTCCTGTGCAAATTGCATTCCAAAAGGCCAATCCTCAGTTATAATTGTGTATAACTTGATTACAAATGAAGCATTTGGCTATAATTATTAAGCATGCTTATTGCTATCAAAGAAATAAGCAAAGTTTTAGGTTTACTGTGCAAGAATTTTAATTAAATTCGCACACATCTCAAAAAACTCTATTGTGTGGCTTCCAGGTCTTGGAGTTAAGTCAACAGGAGAAGAGTCAAGTGATGTCACAGATGAGGTAAGAGAAACTTCTGAGCATTTTCCTTGAGTCTCAGCATCTGAATCATTCCTTTGGCAAGATCGATAGTTGCTAACTGATCCCGATCTCTGTGGAGTAGCAGTCCCTGATTTGGCTTCAGTAATTTCATCTGGGTAGAAAGGATTTTGATTATAATTTATCATACCTTCCTAAAAACCTTGAGGGGCGACCACACCCAGCAGTGCTTACTCCTAGTTCTGCACTCAGGAATTATCCCTGGAGGGATCAGGGGATCATACTGAGTGCAGGGGCAAGGCAGAAGCCCTACCCACCACAGTTTCACTCTTGCCCCACCAGGAATTTTGCTATTTAACTTGCTACTCTGAATCCATCTCCCTGTTACTAACATGTTTAGGGCCAGAGAAACAGTACAGAGGATCAGGTGCTTGCCCTGCATATAGACCCTTGTTTGATCCCAAGTACTGCAAATCGTTTCCTGAGCACTACCAAAAGCACAGAACCAGGAGTAAACCCTGAGCACAGCTGTGCTCTTCTAGGGTCAGGAAGATAGCTCAAAGGAATAGGAGCAGATACCATGCACATGCAGCGCCCAGGTTCATTCCTGGCACCTCATGCCCCTGGCACCACCAGCCGTAATGCCATACCTTTCAGGCCCACATCACCGTGCCATCACCAGGATTGGCCACCCCTCCTCCCTACAAGTAAGTCCTCTATATCAAAAGCCTATGCTAGAGGCCTGAGAGATAGTACAGGGGGTTAAGTTCTTGCGTCGCACACAGTTGGTCCCCAGCACAACATAAGATCTCCCAAGCCCTCGAGGGAGTGCAGGAAGTGATCCCTGAGCACAGAGCAAGGTGTACACCCTGAGCACTGTCAGGTGTGGCTGCCAAACCAAAACCAACAAAACAAAACAAAAAAATGGTCATTCAGTTGACAAACCCAGTTGCTAATAAGCCTAACATTATAAACGTAATACAAATATTGTGAGTTAAGTAGAACTTATTCCATTTCTCAGATTATATCTGAAATTTCAGCATCTGTATTTTCTGTATCTGTTTTTCATTAATAAATAGCATCTGGACATGAAAGCATACAAATCTGGCCAGCATATCAGAGCTCAAATCTATGGCTTCCTGACACTATGCAGGTACTACTTTTTATCTGAGAATTCTACACAATCTTATATAAACAAAAAACTGGCAATATATTTTAACCCAATTGATTGATATAAAGTTATATTCAAGTAAAGGTTCTTGTTTGTGAAAGAACATTTATAAAAATAGATATCCCCCCTTAAGACAATGCTAGGGAAAAAAATGTATTATATTCAGCTTTTTAATGTATAATGTAAAGTACACTTGAGGGCATAAATACGAGATATTAATTCACATCAACTCTAAGCTATTTCAGCAAATTGCACCATTTTTATTAGTTATAATCTACTCATATGTACCTTGGTATTAAAGGTATTTCTTCCCATTTCAAAATAAAAACAAATGTAAAAATTTAAAAACAAAATTAAAAAAAAGATGTTCCAGGGGCTGGAGCAATAGCACAGCGGGTAGGGTGTTTGCCTTGCACACAGCCAACCCAGGTTCAATTCCCAGCATCCCATATGGTCCCCTGAGCACTGCCAGGAGTAATTCCTGAGTGCAGAGCCAGGAGTAACCCCTGTGCATTGCCAGGTGTGACCCAAAAAGAAAAAAAAAATGTTTCAATTTATAATTTACCTCAACTTAACCAAATACTTAAGATATATCTGTATATGATATATACATTGTGGTAATCAAGAGGTATCTCTAGGTATAAATTTTTATTTTGAAAGTGAAAATAGTAAAATAGTCAACCTAATTTAATTTTCCTTTAATAAAAGTCAAGAGTATTCTTTAAGACCTTATAATTGGTTCCTATTATGATGTCTAAAATACAAAATCTAAAATTTGAATTCTCTTTCATAATCAGGCCCGTGATTATTTATTATTATATTGGTTTTTTGGGTCACACCTGGTGATGTTCAGGAGATATTCCTGGTGGTGCTTGGGGAACCATAAGGGATAATAGGGATTGAACCCAGGTTGGCCACGTGCAAGGCAAACACTCTACCCACTGTACTATGGCTCCAGTACCTGTGATTGTTTATTACTAAAAAAATAAACAAAAAAACCACCAACAACATTCTAGTCTTCAGATTAACAATACAACTTTTAGCTAATTGTCACCTTGGATATAAAATGCATTAGTTTCAGGAATCCTTATGCAAATCAATTCACATAAAAGCCATCTTGTTTAGGAATATTTTATTGAAAGCTAAATAAAATTAGAATCATAACTTTTACAAAATAATGAAAACATCTATTGCTGCAGTGTAAGGCTATGATTCAAAGCTGATTCAAAAAAGAAAAATAACCTAAACTGTATAAAACATTTCTCTGAGTCCCTTGAAATAGAACTTACTCAGCAATTACCTCCCATTTCCTATGTACAACTAATCAAATATATTTACATAGTGCTTTGTAACGCTACTCTGAAATCTACTAACTGTAATGTCTTTTATTTATTTATTTATTTATTTTGCTTTTGGGGTCACACCCGGTGATACAGAGGTTACTCCTGGCTCTGCACTCAGGAATTACTCCTGGCAGTGCTCAGGGGACCATATACGATGCTGGGAATCGAACCCGGGTTGGCCGCGTGCAAGGCAAACACTCTACCCACTATGCTATTACTCCAGCCCCCCGTAATGTAATTCTTAAGCAAAAAATTAAACTTTATTAAATTTTTTCTAACATTTGTTAAATATTAGATAAAAAATTATCTTAATAAAAGCTAACAGAAAAATCTATAAAACCCAGCTCCTGGAAATGCGTGGCCACATTTGCAGCTGTGCGACATCTTATTATCTCATTCTTGCTTTGGACAACCTGGCAGGCTACTGAATGTAACCTGCCCACACGGCAGTCTGGCAAACTCCCTGTGGTGTACCCAATATGCCAAATACCAGTAACAATGATGGGTCTCATTCTCCTAACCATGAAAGAGCCTTGAATATGGCACTTTTTAAAATCTCAGGGCTAGGACGAAGGAGACGTTACTGGTGCCTGCTTGAGGCAATTGACAAACAACAGGATGATCGTGATCGTGAACAGAAAAATCAACATTAGTTTCTAAATGAAACACTTTATCTTACCAAAATGAATCACACAAAAGAAATGTGGAAGAAACTACCACTTTAAGATCAGAATCACACTGCATCTGGCCTTAGGAATTTTAGAAGATAATCTTATCTGAGTGGTAAACTATGAAAATAACAGTAAGATTCACAAATGCTGATATCCAAAACCCATATACCTCACATTTTATTTTCTTGTGTTACTAAAATACTGGAAATAATTCAGGAAACTTCAAAAGAATCAAGAACTGAAAAGCTACATAACAAGGTCTAGTATCTTATATTGCTTTGTGCAATGTACATACCATCAATACTACGAAAATCCAGTAAGTATGTTCTGCTATCCACCTGGTATAACTGTAGACTCATTTTGGAGTATGTACTTGTCACAGGATTCTTCCTTCGGACCCGCAAATAGTATGGATTTACAACCTAGTATATACAAAAGCAAAGTAAAACACAATTTTATTAAACATTTTATAGACTATTCTTTTGCCAACTGTACTGATGAATAGAATGCTCTTTCCTACCTTCCATTCATAATCCAGTTGTTTGATTGCTCTACAAACTTCTGCCATGATATCATTTGGTCGACTTTGACTTCTAATTCCCAAATGCCATTTTGCTTTCCTGACTCCTTGGTGTTTGGACTTCTGTGGATTTAATTCATCCAGGGTGTGACGAGCCCTTGGTGTTTCAGCAACCAAGAATGGGACTCTCTCAGGATGGGGCCGAGTCAAATGGTGATCATCAAGAAAAGAATCCGGTGGGCTTGTTGCCAAATAAAAATCTTTGGCTTCATTCATTATTCTCCTGTTATCTATGATGAGGTGGTAGGCAACGGCCAAAGGGTCCTGGTGATTTCTGTTGTAAAGGCAGCTAAGAACCTCCTCTTCTGAGCATTCAAATTTTTCACATACTTCTTTTAAGGCTTCATCATCAATCATGGTTGAACTGTATGATGGATCCTCAGGGAAGAGGTATTTTGGAAGGTCCTGTTTAAACCATTCATGTTCCCTGAGAGATGGAGGAAGTGTTAGAAGGATTCTGAGTACAGACGAGACTAAAAGTAGCTGTATGGGAGGATTAGGATATTGATCTATGTGTTTTCATACTCATTCTGTAATTCTCATTTTTTTCAACTGATATTTTCCTCTTCTGGCTCACATTTCATTATTGCCTATAAATTGGGGGAAACACCGCCAGCCTCCCTCAAATGTTAAAAGGGAGAAAGCATTTGGTGTAGTAATAAGAAAAGAAATGCCTGTGCTTTAATTTCAAGTTTGGAACAAATAATAAAGCATTCCCTTATTTTAAAAGCACTTCCCTTCCAGGTGGCAGACCAAGGTTAGTCCCCAGTACCACATATGGTCTCTCCTAAGCGTCGCCAAGAGTGACTACTGAGCGTCACCAGGTATGGCCCAACAACCAATAAAAAAGGGGGAACTGTTTCACCTCAACTATGTGAAAACAAATAGAGGAAGAAAATACCTGAAAGAACAATGAAGAAGGATTCTCTTCTAGGTAATGGGTTTAGAGATAAAGATGTGTTTTCTTTTCTAATGTCACATATTTACATTCAGATTTGAGGGGAATTCTAAAGCAGAGAACGGTTATTTCTTGCTTAGATTTCTTTTTCTTTTGCGGGGAGGGGAGGTTGGAGGTTTTTGGACCACATCCAACAGTGCTCAGAGATCACTCCTGACAGTGCTCTGGGGACCATATGGGTTGCTATAGGTCCATTTCCAGTTGGCCGTGTGCAAAGCAAATGACCTACCAGCTGGACTCTCACTCCAGCCCCATCTTGCTTAGGCATTTTAAAATATAAATTTTAGGTAAATGAGATGTACTTTTCTGCTGATGTGAAAGCATACCCTGCCATTTGAGATCTCTTTCTCAGTCCATTGTGGAGTAAATGGAAAACCAATAAAGCTTGAAATTATACACAACACCTTTCTTCTTCATCATCTAATACTTCCTTATATACAATTCCCAGGCCCACATCTGATTTTCAGTTGCTTTACCCTCAGAGAAACCTGCAATTAAATCTTCAATTAAACCTGCAATTTAATCATAAGTCGAAGACAGAAAATTCTGGGGTGGAGAGACAATGGTGGGAGGAAAAAAAAAAAAGACTGCGTGATTTTTACGAAATTTCACCCAGGGCAAGAGAGACAGAATAGCAGGTAGGGCACTCTCCTTGCACACAGCAGATAATCCCTGACACCCCATATGCTCCCACCCACAGGCATACTCTGGAGTGATCCCTGAGCACAGAGCCAGGAGTAAACCCTGACAACCCCTGAGTGTGACCTCACAACCAAGAGTAAATAAATGTAGGCTGGTGAAATAGCTCAGTGGTAGAGAATTTGCCCTACATGTGGTATGTCCTTCTGTTTGACTGTCAGTACCACAGAAGAATAGTAAGTAAATGTGTCAGTATGATTGTGTTTTAACAGAAAAACAACTCTTTGTACGTGCTGTCCTATATCTTCTGCTCTCAGATAACTATGAATGAGACTATTAGATCTCATCATCTCCATCGATTACCTGATATCTCTGATTGTGGCCCTCTTCATGGGGTCCACCTGCAGCATATGTTTCAGAAGGCTAATTACAGAAGGATTTAAATACTGAGGGGTGTAAAAGATCCCATCACAGATCTTCTTAAAAAGAGTTGGCACATGATCGTCATCAAATGGAAGGGTTCCACATAATAAAGCATAAAGAATAACACCACTGCTCCATATATCTACCTCTGGACCTGCATACAATCTGTAAGAACAAATAAAAACTGGATTAAATAATCATTAGTAATAGAAGAGCTAATCAGACTTTTAAAATACCGATGTTTCATAAAGATCTTCTAGTGAGCAGAATATGGCTTCCATATTCTATACCAAAAAATCCTAATTCATTCATCAGTAGTATCTTTGAAATTTTTTTTTAAAAAAGAATTTTTTAAAAACTACAGACTACTGCTAAGATTATGTCCTGGAGCGATAGCACAGCGGGTAGGGCGTTTGCCTTGCATGCAGCCAACATGGCCGACCCGAGTTCGATTCCTCCGCCCCTCCCGGAGAGCCCGACAAGCTACCGAGAGTATTCGATATGCCAGACACAGTAACAACAAAATCTCCAATGGAGACGTTACTGGGCCCACTCGAGCAAATCAATGATCAACGGGAGGGCCTTTACCTTATCTTTCTCTGATTCTCAGGAGTCAGGGCCAAAACTTGAATAAATCTATCATTACTGATTTTAAAACCAGTGTTTTTTTCATTACAGAATGAAATGAAGTGATCTCCTGGGTTATAGAAAATTTTCAACTCCTATCTGTAATACACAATGGCCCATGGTCTTCGCCAGCTGTCAGGCAACCCCATCAAAGTTTGGCTTCAGCTAAAGGATTTCTGTAGCACTGTCTTCCCGTTGTTCATCAATTTGCTCGAGCGGGTACCAGTAATGTCTCACAACAAATTGTGAGACTTGTTGTTACATTTTTGGCATATCAAATATGTCATGGGGAGCTTGCCAGGCTTTGCCATGCAGGCGAGATACTCTTGGTAGCTTGCCGGACTCTCTGAGAGAGGCGGAGGAATTGAACCCTGGTTGGCTACGTACAAGGCAAATGCCCTACCCACTGTGCTGTTGCTCCAGCCCAGGATTTCTGTAAAGTGGTAAAATTAAAACAGTTGGACTGATCAATATAAGGACTATTCTAGAAGTTTCCTGGGCCAAAGAGATGGTACAGGGTTAAGATGGTAGAGGGTTATGATGGTACAGGGTTAAGATGGTACTGCTTTACAAATAGTAGTGGACCCTGACCTACAGTGGTTATATATGGCTCATATATATGGTTATATATGACCTACAGCATTATATATGGTTCCCCAAGTACCACCAGAGGTCAATCCTGAGCACTGCTGGGTATGCCCCCCACAAAAAAAAGTGAGCGTTTTCAGGGGTCAGAGAGATAGTACAGCAGGTAAGGCACTTGCCTTGCACGTAGTAGACCTAGGTTTGATCTGCGACACCCCATACAGTGACCTGAGCACTGCCAGGAGTATCTCCTCCACTTGGTCCCAACACCAAACCACTGTACATCAGGTGTATTCAAATAAAAAAAGTTGCACTCACCCAAATCAGGCAGAAAAATACCCTCAAAATGGGGAAAATTAAAATATTAATGATCTGTTCATTGCATTTGTGCATAATTATGAAACATTTATATTTCTCATTTAACAACACCCAAATATCCAGGTCCTGAATTGTCTTTTTCCCAAAAGAGTTTATTTATAACAACTGAAACAACAGTTTAAAAGGGAGGAAGGACTAGCCCCCCACAAACACACTCAATAAAAGAAAGAAAAAATTGGGCCCAAAAGATAGTACAGCGGGAAGGGTGCTAGCCTTGCACTTGGCCAACTCAGGTTCAATCCACAGCACCACATATGGTTCCCCAATCCACATCAGAAGTGACTCTTGAGCTCAGAACCAAGAGTAAGCATGGCTGGGTTTGACACCGAAACTGAAAAATAAAAAGGGGCTCAGGGAACTAGCTTAAAGGGCTAAAGCACAAGCTTTCATGAAGAAGCCTTGGTTCAGTCATGGCACAATTGGTCCCCTCAGAGTCACTGGATCATGATTGCTGAGGATCGCTGAGCTGGAAAGATAGTGCAGGAGTTAAAGCGTATATGTGTGGCAGACGCTGGTTCAATCCCCAGCATCACATGATCCTCTGAGTACCACCAAGGTGGCCCACATCATGGCTGGCATTGCAGGGCCTGAGCCACACATTGTTAAGCCTTAGCCCAAACCTCCTCCTGGGGCACCACTGGGGGGTGGGGGGGGGAGAGGAGGGGAGGCTCAAAGTAAGAAAACAAAACTCAAAAATTTTTTTAACATTAAAGTTTAATATTAAAAAGATCACAATTGGGGCCAGAACGATAGTACAGCGGGTAGGGCGTTTGCCTCACAGGCAGCCGACCCAGGTTTGATCCCTGGCGTCCCACATAGGTCCCCCGAGCACTGCCAGGAGTGGTTCCTGAGTGCAGAGCCAGAAGTGACCCCTGAGCATTGCTGGGTGTGACCCAAAAAGGAAAAAAATGAATAAATAAATAAATTTTTTTTAAAAAATAAAAAGATCACAATGAAGTTTGATAAACTAAAACTTAGATAGAAGTCTTATTTTCAGCCACACCTTAAATATAATTTCTCTGAGCAGGTTAGGCAAGCAAACTTATGAGAACAGAAACAATACCACAATACTTAAACGTTATCTGGATGTGGAATACTAGAATTTAAAAAGTGATTCAAATTTTAAAATTTTATTTATAAAAATGAAAAACCTTGGGGCGGAAAAGAGTACAGTGAGAAGACATTTGCCTTGTGCGCCTTGCTTTGCATGTCAAAACCAGGTTTGATCCCCAGCACCACATATGGTTCCCCCAAACACTGCCAAGAGTGATCCCTGAGCACCACCAGGTACAGTCCAAAAATAACCAAAAAGGAAAACGCCTTATGCCTGTTTTCAATTTCAACGAAGAATATTTTCTCCTTAAATTATATTTTGTGGGGCTGGAGAGACAACACAGGGGTTAAGGTGCTTGCCTTACACAAAGCCAAGCCCAGTTCAATTCCTGGCAACCTGGCACTACATATGGTGACCCCCTGAGCACTACCAGATGCTATCCCTGAGCACTGCCAGGTGTGGCCTAAACCCTTCCCCACAAAAAAAAAAATATATATATATATATGTATATATATATATACATATATATTTGGGGGTTCCAGAGAAATAGAAATAGTACAAGAATTAAGGCTCTTGCCTTCTATGTGGCAAAAGGGATCCCAGTGTGATCCCTGACGCCATCAGGAGCAACCTCCAAGGCCCATGAGCGTGCTCCCAAATCCCCAAATAAATAATGAAATGAAACAAATTAAGAAACTGTATAGTACAGGGGGTAAGGTGCTTGCTTTCCATGTGTCGCCACAGAGTTTTCCCAAGCACTGCTGGGACTATGTCCAAGCACAGAGTTGGTATAGCCCACAAACAAATCTCGGAGATCTGGCGAGATCACGGAGGGACTAATGCATCTCCTTTGCATGCTAGTGACACCAGTTCAATCCTCAGCCCCGTGTGGTCCCAAAAGCATGGCTGGGCGGAGCCCTAGAGGCCCTAGTGGGCTCCAGCACCCAGATGGCCCTTGCAGCATCAAATCCTCGGGCCCACTCACCGAACAACCAGCGCTAGTGGCTGATTATTGCCGGGAATGGCCCGCAGGCTCCCTGGGAGACAAACTCCCTCAAAAGTTCTGGGGACTGGGGAGATGGCTCACAAGTGCAAAGCAGAATGCCTTCCATAATGGAGCCCCTGGAATTTGATCCCTGGCACCTCCTTGTCCCGAGAGCACTGAGCCCTGAGTGGCCCGACCACACCCAGCACTGCCTGGGATGACCCACAATCCACAACACCAAGTTTTGTTACCTTTTACTAAGCAGACTATTCTTAGTCATTTTAGATTAATGGCACGAGTGAGTGGAAGGGACAGACATTTCCACACATCCGTAGCCATGATGAACACACTGCCCTCACAGGAATGGAACAAGAAGTTCTTCTGTTGTTTAAGCTATTCAAAAGCCATAGGTCCTGTTGTGAAGCTACATCCATGGTAATATATTGAGAGACGAAAATCCTTTTTTTTTTTTTTGACAGTGGGAGAAAGAGGCCCTGGGCCACTCCCAAAGGTGCTCAGTGGACTAGAGTGCCTGGGACTGACCCAGAGGCTCCCGCGTGCAGAGCCCGTGCTCCAGCCTTTTGCTTGGGCCATCACTCCGGCCACATAGATTAGAATTCTTATATTCTCCACTTAGAGTTAAAAAATGAAAATTCAAAATGATAAAATCTTCGTTTTTCCCCCCAGTACTCGTTTAATTCTGAGGCTCATTGAACATAAAACCTCAAGCTCCTACAAAGTGTCATTTGAAAAGTTTAAAGTGACACATTACATTTTTATTTCTCTCTAAAAGTAAGCCATTCCTAACAACTAGATATTTCAGTATTCAAGTTTATACTGCCTTGCCTACTTTTCGTTTTAAACCCTCAGTTTTTTCCACCTGAGGAAAACAATGAGGGTACTCTCATGTTACTAATATAATACTGACTTGCAAACATTCTCTTTAAATGGCATCCTTAATCCCTATTCATTTATTAGGTTTAATTCTTAAAAACAGCACTTTCTGCATATGGAAAAAAATAAGCCTTAAATATCTTTCCTTTCACTACAATTAAATACGACACTACAGACTAACAAAATCTAGGCGGCAAAGACAAGCACAAATGCACGGGGTGTCAGATACTACCTTCCTGAAATTACTTCTGGTGCAGCATAGTTGGGTGAGCCACAACTGGTTCTTAAAAATTCACCATCTGACATCATGTTTGAAAGACCTGAAAATGCACAAAATCAACTACTCAGGATTTCTCAAGAAGGAAAAGGAAAACAAAAGTCTATTAAACAATGAAACTGAGTTTGCATTAAAGTGACAGTTCTGTTCTTTGTGGCAACAAAATCCTATACTTTTTCACTATTTCCAAATATTTTACCTTTATGCCTTAAGGTTGTAATCTATTTCAACAGCTGAAGTTAGTGTGTTGTTGGAGTTTAATGAGAATTACGGTATTGGCTCTTCAGTTTACCACTAGAATAAATGTGGCATTTTTTTAAAAATCAGTACAGAAATTAACAGGAAAAAATGTAAAACAGATGAAAACTAAAATTGGAAGTTTCCATTAAACCTTGTTCAGATTATTTTTTAAAGGAAATTATGAAATTTTTAATATCAAAGTTCCCTCTTGGTTTTACTGAAGTACCAGCGCCCTATTGCTCCCAGGCACTGAAAGACCTGGAGGTCCTTGAGAAGGGCCCCTGCTTTACACTAACTGTCCGCTTAACAGAAAGTCAGGAACGGCCCCAGGCCCCACTCAGAAATGCTCTACAGGGCTGGAGAGGAAGGATGGAAGACAGGAGGGAAGGGGAGACCAAGTGATAGCACAGCGGCTGGACATTAGCCTGGCATACAGCCTGCATGGGCTTGATCCCCGGCACCCCTTATGGTCCCCCAAGCACCATCAGGAGCAATGTGATTCCTGAGTGCAGAACCAGAAGAGTAACCCCTTAGCATCACTGGGTATGACTCAAAAAGCCAAAAAACGAGAGAGAAGAGAGAGGGGAGAGAGGAGAGTGGAAGGGGGGGGAGAGAGAGAGAGCGAGCGAGAGAGAGAGAGAGAGAGAGAGAGAGAGAGACCCTCTGTATACTCTTTCTGCCATTTGTGAGCCTATGGAAGCCAGCTGGACTTAGAAAACAACTAGTAAAGGCCCAGGGTGCTGGCCCAAGGGATAGACAGCTTGCTATGCTGGAGGGAGCACCACATTCAATACCAGGAGCCACATGTCCCCGCCACAACACCACCTGGGTGGCCCCCAAAATTAAATGAAATGACCAGTATGTCTGGAGGCTGTGGTCCGATGCCAATTTTGCGAGCATAAGCCAGGTCTCCGATCAGAGGGAGCACATAATTCTTCTTAAAACTGAAGCTTTGTATAATTGAAACCCAAGCACAAAAATGTGTAAGTCTGCAACTGTACCTCATGATGTCTCGCTATTAAAAATTAAAAAAATAATAATAATATGTCGAACTATTTTGCAATATACTATTTAAAATCTTAAAAAAAAAACTGAAGCTTTTATGCTTGAAATGAAATAGTTCTATCTGGTGAAGAGGCATGCTTACATGTATACAGCACCATGATGTCTGGTGACAAAATGAACAAAACTAGTGTATCGAGAAAGGCAACTGATACCCACGCAACTGATTCAAGTCCAATGCTCAAGCATCCTTCCTGCTAAGCCACTGAAGATAAGATACCTGTGAGGCTGTATGCCTTGACAGATTTAAACTCACTGAGAATAAATACATGTGAAGATTTTTTTAAATGCACTACAGCCAGCTTTTTGCCAATAAAGCTATTTCTTGACGGACCAATAACAACAACAACAAAAAAAATGCACTGGAAAAAAATAAAACTAAAAATGGCACTGAATGCATATAAATATTAACAGCTGAAGACTAAGAATAAATCACTTAAAAAAATAAATCACTAAACCAATTTTTTAAAATAGGTCAAGAATAGTTAATACTGTTCAGAAAAATCACTGTAGGTTATACACTCTCTCTCTCTCTCTCTCTCTCTCTCTCTCTGAGGAAATATAATTTTTAAGAGTCTCCTCTGGGGCAAGGGAGGTAGGGGTTAGGGTACATATGACCCAAGTTTGATCTCCTGTACCGCACAACCTCTCAAGCAAAACAGGGTACAATCATGGAGGCCCCAAGCACTGCCAGGCTGGTCCTGGAGGTCCCTGGCACCACAGGGTGCAAGAATTGACAGATCCTCATGTCTTAGTACTGAGTTACCAGTCTGGTGGGTGAGTACCGCTGGGATGCCTCCTGGGCACCCTGAGCCCCACTTGGAAGATGCCCTTTACCCAAAATTACCTCCTCTGATAGGAACCAAAGCTAAACAAGAACTTCAGAGCGTAATGTTTCTCTTAAGTTTACTCATGTCACGGATATTTATATAGGAAATAAAAGTTAACTGATTTATGATCCTATGCTTTCCTATCATTTGAAACATCTTACGTTTGGGAGTTCAGAAAGATAGGATCGTACAGGGGTTACAGCACTTGCCTTGCTTGTGGATGAATCAGGTTTGATCCCTGGTACCACTGTCCCCCAAGCACCACCAGGTGTGATCCAAACAACCTCCCCCAACCCTGCCCAAATTCACTCTTCTAATAATTGTCCTGTTCAGGGGCCAGAGAAATAGCATAGGAGATAAACGGCACTTGCGTTCAGGCAGCAGTCCCAAGTTCAGACCCCCAGCACCACTTATGGTTCCCTGAGTACCACCAGGGCCACTCCTGAGGAGAGCCAGAAATAGTCCCTGAGCTCTAGACCACAAAAGGAACCACAAAAGGAAAAAAAAAATTACCTATTACTTTACTTTTCGACTTTCAATATTTGACTTAGCCCTATCTCAGTCTTTACCTAGTGTTCCATATTTTATGAAACAAACATACCCAATGGAAATAAGGTTGCTAATTACTTCACACTTTAGGATCTTTTCAAATGTCCAATGCTTCGAACTTACATGGCTTACCTAATCTCCTAACGCTCAATTTTAAAGACATGAATCTAAGAAAAGAGAGACCCCGACCTTTCCTCCTTTCCTATGCTTCCAGACAAAACGATGGGGCTCTCCTACTGGGATATGCAGCTACTACGTAAGTTATACCTCAAGAATGCTACTGATTTCAATAGACAACCAACAAACGTCAATAGACAACCAACAAACGGAACTATGGAAATACCTTACCAAAATCAGCTATCTTTGCATTCATGTGTGCATCAAGCAGGACATTTTCAGGTTTGAGATCTCTGTGAACCACCATGTGCCGGTGACAATAATCCACACCAGAAAGGATCTGCTGGAACAGACGCCGACTTTCTTTTTCATCCAACTAAAAGAGAGAGAGAGACATCCTTAAATCGCCTTTCAAAAAGAAATTCTTCTACCTATAATTCTCCAACCTATAAAACTGCCAAATGAATGAAACCCGCCAAATAAAACTCTCTTATGAAATGGAGAGTTATACACACACACACACACGCGCTAACAAACACCTGGAATAAAATCAGTAACCAGTTTCTAATACTATGACACTGCAACAGCTTGCTTTCTTATCTCTCTTATGAGATATTTAAAATAGTTTTAGTTTCCACTTTATACAAGGGACTTTTCCTCCTATAAAATGGAAATGTATAATCCTTCATTCTTTTAGTAAATATAAACCGAACAGTTTCAATGTGTTATGCACTCTCTTTCAGATGACCATGAAATAGCAATGAATAAAACAAAGGCCTAATCTAATTGATGCAAATAAACAGTAAAAACTAAACTGTGGAGGATAATGCTTTGTAAAAAAACAAATTTGGATAAAGTTATATGAAATTATGTTGTGGTGGGGATTCTACATTCAATTATATGAGAAACTAACATTTAAGCAAAATTAACAAATTATCAGGGAACCATGTCATATATATTTTTTTTTTAGTGAAACACCATGAGGTACAGTTATAGACTTACAAATTTTTGTGCTTGGGTTTCAGTTATGATCAAGTGCCCATCCCTCCACCAGCACCCATCCTCTACCACCATGGTCCCAGCATCCCTCCCACCCCCCGTCCCCCCATCCCACCCTGCCTCTGTGGCAGGGCATTCCCTTTTGTTCTCTCTCTCTCCTTTTAGAAACCATGTCATTTTATGTCCCAAAATAAAAGGTATTTTCACAGCAACAAAATAGTTATTTTTTATTTTACAACATATAAAAACATTTATCTTTAGTCTACTGGAGGAAAATAATTATCTGTGCTGCTACTACTACACTTTTAAAAATAAGAAAATCCTTTTATATTAATAAATAGAATACAAGGAGTTGAGAGGTTTACAAAGATTAGAAAACTTCTCTTTTGATTTATCTCTATTATTTTATTTTTATACATGATAACCACAGTCAGACATATTAGCTCACAAGAAATAATTTATTTTATTTTTAAAGTTGTTAACTCTCTAGACAAAAGACTGTAATAAGTACTCCTCTAACACTGGTTGCAAATAAACATTCTAAAACTAAATCTCCAGTAAAATTTTCTTTTTCTTCCTTTTTTTGTTTTTGGGCCACACTCAGCAGTGTGAGGGCTTACTCCTGGGGTCACACCTGAAGGGGTTTCGGGGACCATGAGGTGCCAGGAATCAAACGCAAGTCAGCCACAAATAAGACAAGCACCTTATCCATTGAACTATTTCTACAGCCCCTAAAAGTAGATCTCTAAATATTAAATGGTTTGGATAATCCTTGGGGGGAAGATGCATTAGAAATGTTTTTGAAAGCATAATTAATACTCATATACTATAAGATAAACATCCCTTAGAAAATATAGTAATCTAACACCTTTATTTCCAGAAGAAATGTGACTTTGCTCTTAAATACAAACAAGTTCATAGCAAACATAGTAAATGAGAAAGGTGACACATTCAAAATATGAAAGAGAAGAATACTGATAGAACAAAATTAGAGGCATACTACCTAAAGATGCTACAAAAATGAAAATGCTACTCTACAGAAGCGCAAGGTTCGGTCCTTGGCACCATATTCTTCCCAAGCACCACCAAGTACGACCTCAAAAGTAAAAAGTAAGTATGAAAACCCTATTACATTACTAAATAGAATACAAGGGGCTGGGTAGAAGTTTACAAAAGATTAGAAAACAAGTGTTTTTCCAGTTAAACATGGAAAAATGAAACAACTATATCCATTCCGAAAAGGAGTGGGATTCAAAAAGAGAAAGAGAAGAGATGGCAGTAATCAAGAGAAGTCTTAAGAGGGAGCATGGATGGCCGGGTGCTCAAGGGGTCACATTGGAGGACGCTGAGACTTCCATCTACAGGGCAGGAAAGCAAAAATCAATGCTGCTTTCTGCACAGAGTCTGGGAAGGAGGCTGAACAACAGGACAATGAGTTGAGAGAAGTTTTGAATTCACCCCATTAGAGAGGAAGAGCCCTAACTGACTCAAGGAAGGCTGACCCAGCACTCGTGTTGAGGACACTAAGCAAGGGTGATGAATCGGAGGGAAAGTGTGGGAACTGAGTGTAAGCCAACATACTAACTAGGTAGACTTGCGGCACGTCCCCATTCTGCTCTCTGAGCGCGGCGTACTAATATCACAAGGAAACTGGAAGGTTTCTACAGGAGCGACTACCTGGTGCAAAGAACAATATGTGGACTTACTGACATTTGAGACACCCTGAAAACAGGTCTCTTAACTATTCAACATACAGGAAGGCTCATCAACCAGTAAAAGCTCCACCTCTATAAATTTAATGGTTAGTAGTAGTTCACTCTTAAATGTTGGTGGGCAACAAGAATCTGAAGAAGGGTCCTGCACAAGAGACAAAGAAAAATACAAGGAAGAATGGGGAAAGTGAGGGGTCGGGGTCGGGGGGAATAAATCCCAAGAAGCAGGAGGCATAGGTAATATATAGGTAAAGAAAGCAGGAAACAAGAAAAAAGTCATCCTCGAAATATGTTATCCTAACCGTAGGACAAAATACACTTTATTTATTTATTTGCTTTTTGGATCACACCTGGCAATGCTCAGAGGTAACTCCTGGCTGAAACTCAGGAATCACTCCTGGAGGTATCTGTGGACCCTATATGGGAAGCTGGGAATCAGACCCAGCATTGCACCCTACTTGCTATACAATCGCTCCAGCCCTAAATTAGAGATTTAAAGAAAATTTTAAAAAATAACATTTTTGAAATAGGAAATCTGACAGCTGAAAATGCCAATATGCAAAATCTGAAGAAAATCCTAACAGCAGAGAACAAGCAACAGACAAAAGCGCAAAGATGACAGGATGCCCATTCAACCTGTGTCTATTTCCATTCTTTTTATTCAGAGGGGGCAGAATCTTATTGAGTAAAGAAAAGGAATACCTACAACTGAAATGAAGCATGAAAAAAAATGATGAAAACCAAAGTAAACTTGGCTAATAAGTTTATATAACTTTTTAAAAAATCAAACAGATATGCTGTATAGAAAAAATAAATGATATACAGATTTTAAGAAGGGGGAAATATGTTTCCTAGTGCTTAGGCCTTACTTAGGCCTTCCAAAAAAGATATCTTTTCATAAAATAACCTGGGTGTAGGGAACTGTGCTCAATTTTTGTATCTGTAGCTCAATATTATACACAATGGCTTCTACAGGTCCCTCCAACTCTAATTTCTTTATGTCTCATTCCTACCTCCTCCATGGAGCCTGTTCTTAATCCAGGTATGAATGCAATTTAAATGTGACTGGAGTGGCCAGGATAGATCTTTTAAATGTTTAATATTTTATAAAATATATATAGAAAGAAAGAAAGATAGATAGATAGATAGATAGATAGATAGATAGATAGATAGATAGATGTACTTTTATAAGTATCTGTATACTAATGATTTCAAGACCATGGGTTCTGGGGTCTCAATCCAATATGTCATTAATAAATCTTGTGACACTGTGCAAACATAAATCCCATTTTCCATATTTGTTTAAGTCCCAGTTTCTATATTCCATCTTTAAGATCCTTTCCAGCTCTAAATAGTCCAAGTGTAGACAAATTATGATGAAAGGAAACGGTTGTTTAATAGACATCTTGGGACAGGGAGGTTGGTCAGGGGGCTGGAGTGCATGCTCGAGACCCTGGCACGGCTGGGTCTAGCCCTAGCCAAGTATAACCAGGAGTGGTTCCTAAACACCCAGAGCACTGCTGGGGAGGACCTCCCTCCCCCCCAAAAAAGATAAAACTACATCAACCTTTTATACAAAACTTCTTTTTAACATTTCAGAATACTAGAGGATAACGGGAGTTATGAAATGTATACACAATTAAATCAGAGCCGCTTACCCTTCCATTTTTACAGATATAATCAAATAGCTCTCCTCCTGAGACATATTCCATCACCATGAAAATATCAGATGGTGTACTGATGACCTGGTACCTGGTGAGAGAAAACATTGTCTACCAATGTTAAAACATGTATAGTCATTCATTCATTCGATATTTGCTGAGTACCTATAATACAGCAGGCACCGTTAATTGCCTGAAAACCACAGGGGAGACAGCAATTCCCTGGTCGCGTGGAATGCATATTCTAGGAGCCAGGAAGCAGATATCAAATGAATAAGCACTATCTCAGTGGGTGGGACAAGCTGTGATGAAGTGAAATAAAGCAAACTAAGGGGAATATTTTAGGCAGCATGCTTCAGGAAAATCATTCTGATAAAGTAATATTTGAATAAAACCTGAGGGAAGAGGACAGACTACACCATTATCTAGAAAGGAAGTGAATCAGGCAGAAGGAAGAGCAACTACAAAGGCTCTGGGGTAGAAGCCTAACTGGTAATTTAGAGGAAGGGTAAAGAGCTAGAGCCCAATGATCTGGGAAGAGAAAAAGGACGTGGCGTTGGAGAAGGGACACACTCTTACAAGCATGATGAGGCTCTAGCTTTTACTCTAAGAGGGTCAGAAAGCTAGGGAAGGTTTTTAAATACAAAATAGTCATGTTACTTCCTCTACTAAAATGGTAATTTTAATTTATTGTAGCATTATGGAGAACTGTGAACACTAAAGATGGTGAAAGCAGGTGATTTCTGCAGAATTCCATTAAAGAGATGAGGAGGCTCAGTCTAGGCTGATGGACATGAAGGAACTGGGGAAGAGATCCTAGATACACTCTGAAGTACAAGATGAAATGGATGGTAGAAAGGGAGAGTAATCAGCAAGTTCAAGAACAGTTCCTAAGGAACTTGACATTAACGAAAATGATGGAACAAGCAGTTTGGGGAAGGTACTCAAGTTCGATTTTGGCCATATGGAGTGCAATATGCCTTGTGGACATTCAAATGGAGGTGTGAACAGGCTGTGGGCATACAAGCCCAGCACTCGGGCAAGAGGCTTTACAGCAGGTAAGTATATTTAATTTACAGGTCATCAGCATACGGATTATTTAAAAGTGACAGTACCTTCACAGAGGATAGGAAGTAAAGGACAAAACAAAACTGATTCAGCTAGTTCAGCATACAAGCCTAAGCAGTTTTATCTACAGGCTGCACAGTAAAGCTGAGTAGTAAACAGATCATCCATAGATCCTACATTTGCACTAGGAAACAAGGAGAGGATTCCTATCCTTTTGAAACACTGTTATGCTTTATCAGGTAAACACAGAACAGGGGGAAATAATTTCTGCCGCATTTTCTTCAGTGAGACTTCCTGATACTGTGGGAGTTTTTTGGAGGTAGGCTTTTCACTGATAAATCACTGCTATTTCTACAGCCTTCTAATATCTGGTGCCATCAAACATTCTCAAGAGGGCATTAATCCAGAGTACAAGAAAAATAAGGACGGTAACAGCTGGTAAACAAAAGGGCAAAACATGAACTTCAGGTCAAGTGATCACGAATGGGGTTAAACGCATAAATGAACAAAAGGGGAGAAATTTCAACAGACTACAGAAATGTCATCTTTATCACTTGTCAAATTACATACACTTACAAAAATGGTGGGAAGCACTCCCATTATGACTATAATTAATATAATCAGAGCTTACAGTTTAATTATATGAGGATGTCTGAAAAGCTTGAGATTCTGAATTTCTCTGCGGATCTTTCCTACCACATCAAGGCTACGAATCTTCTGTCGATTAAGAATCTTCACAGCAACTTTATGCCCAGTCAATTCATGTTTGCCAACTGTCGGAGAAATAATAAATTTGCGTCAATCTTGATTATTAGCATGTTTAGATATACAGAACAGCATACTATTTTAGGAGTACTTATTTCAGCATTCATAACAACTACTCAAGCAAATTTAAGGTTCTTTCAATTCTGCCTAATTTATCCATGAACATTTACATGACTAAGTAGGGATTAATTAGGAAGCTGTTAACAAATTCTTCCAAAAATGAAAGCTAAAAACAAATGGAAAAAAGAAGACTTGTTTTTAGTTGTATACTTTTTGACTCATTTTCCTTTTTAATTTTCAAATTGTCATTCATATAAATTGAGCTTTTAGGAAAAAGATTTTTAACACATGTAGAAATTGGTGTGACCACAATTAGCAATAATAAGGATTGGCATCAAATACCAAACAGTTTTATTCTACAAAAAATTTCCTCGTATTATAAAAATGCTTCCCCCTATCTGAGGGGCCACAGAAAAGTGCAGCAGTTTAGGTACTCTCCTTGCATGCAGCAGAGCCAGGTTCAATCCCGGGCATCCTGTATGATCTCCTGAGCAAACAGGGAGTGATCTCTGAGCACCACCAGGTATGGTCCTAGAACAAAAACTAGTAATACCTTGGGGGCAACCAAAACAATGAGCGATGATGGGCTTTTCTACCCCTCCACAACTCTGGAATTGAGAAGGATGGGCAGGGAAAGAACTGGTTCCTCACTATTTTGGTACCTTTGAATTTCTAAGCATTAATATTTTAGTTAATACTAATGGTAAGGTTAGATTACATAGGTATTTTGCAATGGAAGGAAAAGCTGAGTCAAGAGGATGGAAAGATAAAACAGCAGGTAGGGTGCTTGCCTTGCATCCCATATGGTCCCCAGAATCCACCAGGAGTGATCCCTGAGCACAAACCCAGGGATGCTCCCACCAAAAAGACTCAAAGTGTTGAAGTCAAAGTACTAACTTTTAATCCTTCCCATGAATTATCTAACCACTGAAATTAAATTCACTTTTCATTTATCCCATATCCTTGCTTGGCCATCATAGTATCTCTACACTACAAATCTTTCCAATAAATGTGCAACTGAAATAAAATCTACTCTAGCCCCAGCATTCTAAGAGAATCATAAGGCAAAAGTGGCAAAGAGTCTACAATGTAAAAGTAACTTAAATGTCTCACTTGGATATCACAACTCAACTAATCTCATAGTCATCCATGATCATACGAAAATCATACAAAATTCTTGGGGCCAGGGTGATAGTATAGCAGGTAGGGCACTTGCCTTGTACATAGCCAACCTGGGTTCGGTCCCTAGCATCCCATATAGTCCCCACAGAGTCCCCAGAAATAATTCCTTAGTGCACAGTCAGGAGTTACCCCAGAGCATTGCCTGGTGTGGCCCCCAAAACAAAAACAACAAAAAAAAATCATACAAATATCTTGAACAATGAGAGATGAACACAATATACACAAACATTCTATTAAGACCTTGTTAAAACCTAAAATCAGTGAAGAAGAATAAAAGTATAGTACAAAATTAACTGTGGACATTAAACACATTCAAATTTCTCTTAAGATTTTCTCCAGTCTCTAATACCAATCAGACGTTGAAGTGACTGTTAAACCCCAAGTCACGAAATGTCTTGCTTTCTGAGACCTGCCCAAAAAGAACAATTAATCTCACCCAACCCAAACATCTTCAAGTCCTGAGAGTTGGAACCTTTCCCTAACTAACTGAACAGATGAAACAGGTTTGGGAAACAGCCACAATACTAGTTTGGAGTTTGCTACCTTCCAAAGTTCAACCTGTGTCTTGAGTTGGGTTAATTTTCAACAGATTACATATATATATATATATATATACACACACACACACACACACACACACACACACAGCACCAAGTCCTCAACAATGATTCCACCTACCTATAAACTGTAAGAATGCTTATTCAGGGTGTGGAGAGGTGGTTCAATAGAAAAGCATGCTTTGTGTAAAAAGGCCTCAGTTTGAGGAGTAGGAGAGCGCGCAAAGGGGTAGCGCACACACTGTGTGTGCCAGAGCCAAGTTTCACCCCTGGCACCACATGGTCTGTGGATCACCACACTAGGATTAAGTGTCCAAACAACACTGGGTATGCCCCCTCACCCACTTTTTTTTTTTGGCTTTTTGGGTCACACCCGGCAATGCACTCAGGAATTACCCCTGGCGGTGCTCAGGGGACCATATGGGATGCTGGGAATTGAACCCAGGTCGGCGGCGTGCTAGGCAAACACCCTACCCACTGTGCTATATCACTCCAGTCCCTCAGTCCCTCACCCACCATTCCTGGCTTTGACTTGATCCTTCACACCACAAAAGAAAAATCAAATTGGTGAACACATGAGAATGAGGGGACACACACACTCGCTCAAAGAAGAGCACAAAGGGAAAAATATTCATTTGATGAGCTTAAATCAGCTTTTCTGTATTTATATCTTTACTCTCACCAGCCCTTAAATATTGGTGTTATTAGTAACATGTTTTGGTTTTGGTTGGGGGCAGTGGTGAGGGAGCTGGACCACACTCAGCTATGCCCCAAGCTGACTCCTGGTGGAAGTCAGGGGACAGGGTGCAGTGCTGGGGACCGAACCAGGCCCCTCAGCCCCCATAGTATCTCTCTCTGGCCCTATTAGCAACATTTTACAGGTAACCACAGTATGGAAAGATGAAAGAACTTGCCCAAGTTACACATCTGTAAAGTCAAGCTTGGTTCAAAAAGTCTCAAACATTTGTACTTTTTCAAAAAAAAAAATCCTAAATAGGATATTGCACTAATAATAACAATGAAATGGCCTTTTATGGTGGGGATTTTGTTGGTGGGGGAGGGCAGGGATCCACCCAGCTGTGCTCAGGAGTTCATGCTGAGTGGGGACAAAACCCTGGGTCAGGTGCATGCCAGACATGTCTCTAGCATTGTCAATTCCCTCCTCAGCCCTGAAATCCCTCTTTTACATAAACAAGATGAATATAGCAGAGGATTGTTGACTAAATCTTGTAATTTTGAAAAGAATAAGGCAAACTCCCCCATACTAGTTAGGATTCGAAAACTTTATCCAAGCATTTATGCAAGTCCCTGATAAGCTGTGTCTGCATTATTCCAGGCACCAATAGTGAGGTTTTTTCCCCGTGTCAGAAAACGGAGTCTCTGGGAAGGCAGCCTCATGCCAATTTCAGTATTTTAAGAGACGATAACAGGGTATTTTATTCATTATACCAAAAGCAATTTTGAAAGTTACTCAAATGTTAAGGAAGAAACAAAGAGTACAAAACTAAGAGCAAATAAAACATATCGGCAAGTGCAGCAGGCTGACCAAGGCCCTCTGTCAGATGCATGCTAACCCAGACCCTCAGAAATAAGGTCTCTGCAAACATAACCAACTAAGTTCTCAAGACAGACTCACCCTAGATTCGCAGGCTCCTAGATACAGGACCCTGTATCTGAGAAGTGATATTCTCTAGAGACAGCAGATATGAAGATTGAGTCCAAGATTGGATTTATACTGCCACAAGCCAAAGAATGCCAGGAGCAACCAAATGCTAAAGGTGCCCACTCCTCGGGGGGAATGTGCCACTACCAGTCCCTCAACTGTAAACGCTGGGCCTCCAGAACGGGGACAAAAACCCTCTTTCCGCCTTCAAGGTACTCTGTTACTGAAATCCTAGATGGCTATAAAACAAGTGGATCTTCAAAAATATAATATTCATTGCAGTCAAGTTAGCAAAAGAAATTATTCTTAAAAACAAGTTCACTCGGGGCCACAGTCCACAGCAGAGTGAGTGCCCTGCATACTGGAGGCCCTGGTCTGATGGAACACACGGTCCAAGCGCACGAGCACCACAGACTGTGACACAAAAGCAGTAAAAGATCTTCCAGATTCTGCTCCACAGGGTAATTTATATAGAGAGACTGCAAAGAAAAAGAGTCCACATTAAGTCAGTCTGGGAAACGATGGGTGTGCTTCCTTTGTAAGTTCGCTATTCAAATTGTCAGTAAAGGCTCTAAAATACCCGACAGTAAAGAAACCAGTTCAATATTGTTTAAGCTGGTACTTTCCAATCTTAGCTGAATACTGTCACTGTCACTGTCCTCCCGTTGTTCATCGATTTGCTCGAGCAGGCCCAGTAACGTCTCCATTGTGGGACTTTGTTGTTAATACTAGGTTGTTGTTTTTTTCCCTTTCCAAAGTTTTCAAAAACTGTCCCAACACTAGTGACACTTAAAAATCTTTTCTCTTTCAGAACAAAATCTTTTCTCTTCCCCCCTAAAGACTCTTTTCTTCTCGGCAAAATTTGGTCACTTAAAAAGTACCATAAACTGGGGCTGAAGCAATAGCACAGTGGGTAGGGTGTTTGCCTTGCACACAGCCGAGCCGGGTTTGATTCCCAGCATCCCATATGGTCCCCCGAGCACCCCCAGGAGTAATTCCTGAGTGCAAAAGCCAGGAGTAACCCCTGAGCATCGCTGGGTGTGACCAAAAAAAAAGTACCATAAACTGGTTTTTTTTTTCTAATTTATAGGAACAAAAATATTTGCTTGGAGTAAGGAGTTGGGGGTGCCACAGCCAGTGATGCTCAGGACTTACTTTTGGCTCTGCACTCAGAAATCACTCCTGGCTGGGTTGGGTGCCAGGGACTGAACCCAGGTCAGCTGTGTGCAAGACAAACATCTTACCCTGTACTATTATTCTGGCCCCACAAAAATATATGCCTTAAGCCCAACTACCAACACATGTCAATATTAGAATTTCAGCACCTAGGGCTGCCATGATCGCTCAAGGGGTTAAGTGCAGGCTTTGTATGCAGGAAACACATATTCAATCCCTGGGGATCACTTGGTCACCGAGCACTGCTGGGAGAGACAGAACTTGGAACAGCTCCCTCGGATCAGCACCAGTGGCACAAACAAAAATAATAGTTTCAACAATATTTCTGAAAATATAAGGTATTAGGGCTTAGGAAATACATTATCTCACA